CACACAGACACACACACACAGACACACACAGACACACCATGTAAAACATTCAGTAATAAACACACACCTGCGGTCTGTTCTGTGTCATTGAGCTCGATAACCTCGATGATTTCTTCATCTTCGTGCAGGTTCAGCGAATCTTCCTCAGGATTATCCATCAACAATGGTAAACTCCTGGTAAAGTTTTATCACGAGCTCTTTCCGCTTGACCTCGACTGAAAGGCTTTTCTGGGTTCTGACCGTTACTCGCGATATTGTTTTGAACTAACTTAAGTCACGGTTCTATAACAACGTGTCGTTAAAAGTACTATTTGCTGAATAATAAACCTACTGTAACGCGTTTTATTATGCTCCTGTATTTCACGTGCTCTCCCAGACAGCTCGCGCTGACGTAAGACGTGGAGAACACGGTGACGGACAGCGCGTAAGCCAATCGCGCCCATTGCTTTTCCTCAACGGACAACTGTTGAAAGGCGGGACTTCCGGCTCCGACTGATCTCCAATAGTGCGGTCGGTGGCACTAGATGGCGCCAGTGAGGCGAACACAAATCACTCATTCACACATTCGACCTGAATGCGAGTTTATTTGTCTGTTTGGAAGATTTGTAATGTATTTGTCATGTGAAATTGTAAAAATGTAAAGTAAAATCGACTGTATCTAGTGTCATTATGAATATGGTTTTGTTATTTGTTTTTCTACAAGATTAAAAATAAAAACAATTACCTTTTGACCAGTGGTGTTTTCACAGTGCTGTCAGCTCTCATGTGCTGCTTAGTTTTGGGAATCAGTGTTCAGTATTCAGATGAATGAATGAAGTTTCAGCACATTTGAAGACACATAAAACACATACGGCACATAAATCGGTTGGTTATTCTGAAATGAACCCCCTGTGTGCATTTATGTATCTTATTTGTGAGTTTTGAGATACCTTTCAATTATAACCACACAATGTTTCAAATTGGTTAAAAATAAATCCTTTAAAATAATGAATAGCTGGTGACTAAACCCTTCAAGTTCATGAAGAAGAGAAAAGAGCAACCTAAACGTTAGGAAGCTTAGACAGTGACTGAAGACAGTTTGATCGCTTTGACTCAGGCTTTATGTACAGCCAATTATAGACTAATTAATCTCTGACAAAACGAATTCCTAACAGTTTATGTCAGTCCATCATTGGATCTTTTTTCTGAGGCCTGGTCAAGACACTCATTCACACTCAATCACATTGATGCACGATTAGCATTAAAATTCATAATACATCAATCCCAACACATGCTTGTTTGCACATAATGTAAGACTGCTTTATGTTTAAGAATACATAACTCAGACATTTCCATTATTTATATGAAACATGAAAAGTGAACAAAAGGTATTAAATTGGACTTCCAGACGTGTTATATAACTTGCGCTCAAAGGTCCATCAAGAGAAGTATAAATCCTCTGTTACTATGGAAACCATGACGACTGACATGAAGGATGAGCCGTTCTCCTGAACATCACCTGGCACCATCTGGACAGTAACTACCTGAGACCATCATTAGTTCATTTACCCAGACAACTTGTACTTCATGGTTTTAAAAGCTATTGCAAAGAGTAGCAACAAACCCCTCAAGTTAAGAAAACGCTTGGTCATAAGTATAAAATAAAGTAATCATAAACTAAACTAACTCAAGGGGTTGTTGCTGCTAGTCCACGTCTCTGCTAAAGCTCACATGCCTCTATTTCCTTCAGATTTAAAATTCACACTCATTCTTACAAAACAATCACTCATTAAAGTTTGGCATACTACACAGTTAACGTGAAACTTTCACAAGAAAGCAAACTAATCTAATACATAAGTGTTAAGATAAACAGGAATCCACTTCTCTCTGCTCAAAGTACAGATGGTTCAGATGAAAGGGTTTGGCTGTTAGGTGGAGCTGGAATCAGTCTATAATCTGGAATCAAATAATAGAACTGAAAATGCTGCATTATTTAATTTGACTGCCATAAAAAGGGAGTGCGGTGACGAGTGGAAATGACAGAGCTGAAAAAGCTGAACATCCGACTGGCATCCAAACGATCTGCTCTGAATTATGTGCTCAATTTGCTGAAGAAATTTCACGATGAGTGCTTAACTAACGTGTTGTTCCATGCAGAAGAGATCATTTAATAAAGAAACCAATGGTTAAGAAAAATCATGAAATCAAATTTGTATTTGCCTCTTAGAAGACTGAACTGCGTTGATAGAGGTTAAGAAGATCACACAAATGTTAGCATCTGAAAGAGGGTTCAGTATTTACCATTAGTGACTTCAAAAGGCCTCCAGTTATCGGTATCTAGCAAGCTACGGACATGTTTTAGGTGTTAGCCCTTGTATGAGTGATTTTGAAAGGCTCTCCATGACATTCATCTGATTTAGCTGACTGGTTAGATCCATGTAGGACCTACTCCTTCCTCGACTGAGGAGTAAATGCTGTTCTGATCAACTACCACTCGATTTTTATGCTTGAACTGTCTTGAACTACGTAACCCAGTGGTGTCAAACTCAATTCCTGGAGGGCCGGAAACCCTGCTCCAACACACATACCATGCAGTTTTCAAATAAGCCTAGAGGACTTGATTAGTTGGATCAGGTGTGTTTAATTAGGGTTGAGTCTAAACCGTGCAAGGCTCTGGCCCTCCAGAGTTTGACACCCCTGATCTAACCCATGAATTAAATACAAGACAGACTTGAATAAAGCAATACAGTACATTCTGAAGAGTGTATCTTTGATGTCATTTCCGGTGTGTGTTCTTGCTTGTGGGAGTGTTAAATTATATTTTGTTACACAAACATCAAAGACGTGTCTAATATTGCTTGAGCGAACCATTACAACTGAGGGACTTCATGAGATCTGCATAGACGAGATCGTTCTTTTGTCCTGATATGTTGAACGTGCTTGTTTCGTGAAACACACGAATGTCCTTGGGCTTACAGAATGAAAACGTGGCCTACTATATGAGCTTAATCAATGACGGTAGAAAAATGGAGTGCACATGTATTCAATGGTGGATAATAACTAACATCTACTGATGGAGTTTCGGTTGCTCGCGCTGTCGCCTTTGGCTTGCTTAGTTAGGGACACTTAATTTCTGGCAACATGACTTGACTGCAGACACTGTTGGAAGAGAACTGAACTGGACTGGACTGGACTGAAGGATGATCACTGAATCAACAATGAACTGACTTTAACTGATAAACTGTCTGTTTCTATCGTCCTCTTGCATTGCCAGCACACGATCAGTACACTGTAAAGCTGCTTTGACACAATCAGTATTGTATGAAGCTATAGAAATAAAGGTGACTTGACTTGAATGACACTAGAATACCTTTGACTGAATGTTGTTGTAGTTTGATGTCAAAGAGTCACTTGTTTCGTTAAGAATGAAGACGAAAATCGCTCAAATCTGTCACTCTTATTGCTTTGTTGTTATGCCTTAAATAATCAAATGTCAAGTGAAAGACAAAAGTCTCAACTTCAATAAAACACACAGGCTGTGTTCCAATAGAAGAGGATGACTGAAAACATTTTCCTCTTATGTGTAAACATACCTGGCAATAAAGCTGATTCTGATTCTGATTCTGATGAATCGCAGACACATGAACGACAGCATCAGAGAACCTGTGCTTGTCTGTCGAAGCAAGTCATTGAAAATCACACAAAATAGAAAAAGATTGATAACACAATAATTACAGATGAATAACATTCGTCAAATCACTCATCAGCCGTTAACCAAACCACTATTCGCACGCACTCACTTAATACAGACGTCGTCTGACTAATTATTAACAGATAATTCTGCAGCACAAGCTAAAGAAAAGCTTTATTGATCATCACGATCCGCGTGGCGCGTGCCTGTCCGGAGTGACGTCACCGCGCGTGATGTTCCCGCCACACGCGATTCCCGAGTCAAAAATCCAGTATGGCGGAATCTGTCAGACGGCGCTTCTGTCGCTTCTGCGCGTTCGGGACGAATTCAGATGTCCGACGTTGATCCCGCGAGCGTCCTGCGTCTGCCGCGATCAGGTGAGCTCCGCGCGGCGGCGGTTGTTGTTATTCTGCTATTCTTCAGCAGCTTCCGTCAATGATGATCGAACAGATTTACCTTCACATGTGAGAAAACCTCTTCTATGGAGATCAGCTGCGAGTAACGGTTAGCCTGAAACCAGCTTTAACTAGTATTGTGTGATTGTTGTGGTTAAACGAGCGACGGCCAATGATGTGAAGTGGCTCGAGATGGGCGGGTTAAAGACACGAGGCGCCCGCTTTTTGTGAATGAGGTTGAGGGAGGATTGCTGATACACACACACTCTCACACACACAAAGATACACATACACACGCTCACACACTCACACACACAAAGATACACGCACACACACAAAGATACACACACACACACTCACACACACACACTCTCTCTCACACACACA